TGGCTGCTCGAGCGCAAGGATCCAGGAGGAGACAAGTTGAGTAGTAGCTCCTTTCCTCGACCTTTATGTTGACGTTTTTGGTGTGTAGCCAGATTTCTCGCCGTCAGGTTCGTTGATCCTTCGCTGATGCAGAGGGGACATGAATACCGTACTTCCGTTGGGCATCGTGGTGCAGGTCCAGGTACGGGTGATGGTGGTGCCAAATCTTGGTTCATGACACCGCTCATTGCCGATGCGACTGGAGGCTCCAGTGCAAAGCAATTCCACGCCAGTCCATCAGTCTACTACTGCTGGTGCTGCTATTGCCTTCCACCACGCACGCTCGTGCGTGGTGGAAGTGTCATCATCCTCTTGCGGTGGCTTCAACGTGTGTGTGTGTGTGTGTCCTCTGGTGTGTGTGTGGCGGGAAAAAATTCCCCTATTAATAGGGCGTGTGAAACCACCCGAAATATCTCCGAAATCGGAAAAAATTATCGGTGGGAAATCACGAGAGGAATCTATTGCAGCACGTTATTTTTGAATCGTACGGTTGAATTGTCCCCAAGAAACTGAGCAAAATACCCTCCAATATCCGGTTTTTTGCCCATAACTCCGTTATTTTTTGTCAACTTGGAAATCGGAAAAAAATCACCGGTGGCAAATCACGAGAGCTGTCCAAATCCAGTCTCAGATTTTGTGTCTGCAAAAAACACCGCCCTCCAGAAAGTAAGCAAGATTTTTTGAATATCTGAACATATCGAGCGAAGGACGAAAAAAAAAAAAATCTCCGTACAAAGATGCGCCTTGAAACGTCGATTTACGCGGTTTTTTCAGATTTCGGAATAAGTACCCCCACCCCGAGAAAAGTGCACCTTTGTGCAGGGGAAAATATTGTGAATTTTTCCGGAAACGGACCATACATTTTGGTATTAGGAACTGACACGAGTTTAATGTGAAGAAAACAACAACAACAACAACCTCTGTCTGTCTGTCTGTCTCTCTCTGTCTCACTCTCCCCGTCTCGCTCAGCTCACCTCCTTCCCCAACAGATCACCGATGTGTTGGTACCTCTGTGTTGCTCGTGTGGCTGACGATGCAACTGCTCATCATGTACGTACCGCATATGACACAAGATAACTTACTCCCTGGACCGATTTTCAAAGCTCGATTATTCAAAAGCAGCAACAGTCGCACGGCCGAAAACGGCGACGTTGAAGCCGTCTGGTTAAGAGCTCTCCGGAAACGTACTCTTTCGTCTATGCTTCCTCTTCATCGTGGAGTAATCGAGGTTTGGAAATCGGTCGAAGGAGTATGTTATCTTGTGTTATATACGGTAAAATGTTATAATATAGGCAAAAAGAATAAGAGCATTCCTCAAACCGACGACACGACCGCAGCCTGCTGCACCTGCTGGTGGTCGTCGGTTGGTAGCCTTTGAAAGAATCACAGCAAGAGTCCCATGCATCTTTATCTTTTCGTTCGCGTGAAACATTTATGCTTATTTTGTTATTTTGTTGCACTCAACTGCTGTTAGGATGGACGGACGCGGGTGGCAGCTCGTACTACCACGCGACCGGAGGAAGCCAACGACGGCAGAGACGGTGCGATCCACTTTTTCTCCCGGTCAACTTGCCATTCAGTAAAGCGCTAGCCTGACAACAAACTATTGTTTTTTTTTTGGACGCAATCGTGAAAGAGCGTTGCACGACTGTGTTGCAGCAACATGCCAGCATGCCAACCCTTGTACAGCGGTGTTGCAGGAACACGAAACCCACCCTTTCCCATCGACAGATTACCAATACCAACCACTTTTAAATGCCCTTTTCTCGATGCTCAGGTTGATGATAACCATGCCACTGCGTTCGAGACCCCGGAGGTTATGGCCGACGAAAAGGTGTTGGAGATGCGGTCTCAACTTCGCCGTATTCTGCGCGACATTTTGATGCAACGGCGGGCAGTTGATGAAGGTCGCGCCAAAGGTGCTCAGGTTGAACTCGCGGCGTTGACTGAAGAATGCACATTGCATCTTGTGCTTGGCGTCAAGCCGGGGTGGGTGCTTCCGGCGCAGCCAAAGAAGGTATGTTGAGTGCATTGCACCCGTGTAGGATGTTGTGGTATCGTCTGATGTCGAGCAGTCAGCGTACTGCTTCAGGCCGCACTCATACACTCATACACCACGGGGCTTTTGTCTTCTCGAATTTGACGTCCTTTGTGTAACATTGTACTGCTTTGCAGGACCACAAAAACGTTGTTCCATTACATAGTGCGGTAACTCTCTAGATGGGCATTGACTTCCACGAAGGGCATTGGATCCAATATCCAAGGGTGCACGCAAGTCATCCCGCCCACGTAAGTACCCCCTGAGGGCCGAACAAAATTATCGTTTTTTCCTATTGTGGAGTCAAGGGCTTAGAGTACACTCCACGCCAAGCTTCTTATGGGGGACTAATCGTGCGCTAGGGTTAGGGTTGACGTTTCACTCATACTTAGAGCGGATTGGAGCTGGCGGGTTGATGTGGTACGCACCCGTTTCGTGTGATCATGGCTTTGGGGTTCGCAAGAGAGAACTTGCCACTATCGTACTATCGAAGGTGTTACGCACGTTTTTTGAGGCTCGCCACGTTGAGCGAGATGGCAACTGCTGGTGAGGGTCGTTGTCGTTGAGCTTCTTCGGCAGCGATTGCTGCTGGCTGCAGCTGAAGCTTGTCTCGCTGGTCCATGCGGCTGCAAACGTAGACCAGATCTCTCTGCTCGTCCCTGAAGGCAAGATAGACCACGACATATTTGTTGAGCACTCGCAAGAGGCCTACGTGGTGTACGGCGACGGAAGCACGAAATTCATACAAGCCAACGTTTGCAGAGACAAGATGGCCACGGCTTCGATCGCAAGACTGTGCAAACCCGGAGCTTTCGCGGGTGCCGTAGAATGCGTTGCGGTTTCCGAGGCATTGGGCGTTCCGGCGAACGTGATTCACCCCATGGACATGACGGTGAGGAAGAGGATGGACTTGGGGCTTGTAAAAGATGGCGCGGGGCAGGAGGTGGATGGGGAGGAATATCAATGATGTTACTCCCACCGCCCACAGAAGACCCACCTGTGGCTTTTGCCTAACGCCGGAGGAATGGCTCGTGAAGAGTGAACATCATCATGGTGAAAAGCTCCCCGGCCCTGGAAAACCCCACCGAAGAGCAACTGCGGCTGTGGGGCAGGTGCAGCGCTACACTCCAAACATCGACGATACGACCGACCATTTTGCGGCCGCTGTGGTGATGGATGGCACCACACTTCTGTGCCGCATACATTTGATTGCTCCCCGGCAGAGAGCAGCCGACGACGCGAGTGGTAAGGAGGACTACGACAAGCGGGTTCTTGCATGCAAGGAACAACAGGCCGTTCGAGAACGACAAGCCGCTGGTGTGCAAGCCGGCAGTGACACAGTGGCGGCCGACACGACGCCGTCAGTGGTGGTGGCGTTGTTGGCGGTGTTGGTGTGCAGGATGCCAAGCGAGAACAGCAGTCCCGCCAGAGTAAGAAGCGGCAAGGTGCAGTACGCTCGCATCCTCGTCCAGATGACGGAGGGTCCGGAGAAGCAGCCACTCGGCCGTTGCGGCCCCTTCTTGCTGCCGCCCCTTCTGCTCCTGCTTCTCACTTTCTTTCTGGGGTGCCGCTCTGCACGATCTGTACATCCGTCGTCGAAGGGAATCGTTGCCCGAACATACGCTGGTGTGGCGGCATTGGCTAAGATGATGCTTGCAGCTTTGATGGCGGCGGTCCAGCACCTAGCTCTAGCCTCTAGTGGCGTTGCTGTGCTGGAAGCGGTGGTGGCAGGGGCGCCAGACTTTCCTGAATCCTCGGGGTTCAACGTGTAATCGGAGGAAGAGGAAGGTCAGTGGGCGGGGTATTTACAGTTGGGCGGAGTAGACAATGGCAGTTTTACTCGGAAGACGGAGGGAGAGGCAATGTGTGAGGGCAGCTGTGTCGTTTTGAGGTTTCCTAAAAGGGGGAGGAGGAGGAGGAGGAGGAGGAGGCGG